GGGGGGGGGAGAGAGGATAATTCACACAAACCAGGACTTTGCTATTTTGGCAGCGGAACAAAGTACGTGTTCCTGACCCTGACCGTTGAACTATTCGGAGCTAATCCAAGGTTGCTCTGCGAGCTCTTACTCTTCGTTATGGGAAGATTAACAAGTTACGAAAACTTCATACAAAAGATGACATTACGTATGGAAAAAAACTTGAAGCACGCTCTACACGCTACACTCCTTTGAGTGTCTTCGCTAGAAGTTCAGCGCAAAGGAGACAAGCTCGGATATGATTTTAAGATTCACTGCGAAGGGGAATAAAGTCATTTTCCCTGTACAATTAAGAGATTGTCGAGAGGTAGAACCGTGAGTCAAAGACCGCGGCAGCATTGCCAGATTCACGGCGGAAAATAGGTCGATTTTACCGCGTAAGTTGGTAGCACTGGGCCAGCGGCGCCTCTTCGGCCGGAGTCTTGACCACAGAGCAAGAGGCACCAACAAGGTCATCGAGCACCTCCGTGATTTTCCAACCACACAGCTGCCGAATGGGCGGTGTTTGGACTGCGAAAATGGACTGCGTTTCTCAACACGAGGCCACAATTTATGATTTATTCATAAAAGCATGTATCCGCACACGGAAAATTATGATACATATCGACGGTGAAACTACCAAACCACGTATCTCGGTTTGCGACGTCGGTGACTTCCTGTCATACTTTATTTTTTAAATAAAAAACTATTTAACGTCCAGCCTTGAAAATTTCTGTGATTTTTCCTTTTCGCGCGGAGAAAATTCTGTGAAAATTTCAAGGAATGATATTGATTTGGTCTACTTCCAAAAAATAAAATGTGAGCGTAGATTTTTAAACACCGCAAACGAGATACGTGGTTTGGTAGTTTCACCGTCGATATGTTGTTTCCAAAATGAGCCAGAAATAGTTGTTCCTCATTGCAAAATGTGGTCCAAATGACTCCTTAAGATAAACGAAGAAAAATACATTTAAAGTTTCATCATTTCATACGCTTCAGTGCAAGAAACAAATGAGCTGTATTTTGCAATGAGATAATCCTATTTTTGACTCATTTTGGAAACAGCCAGAAATAGCGGTTATGGATTGCAAATGAAGTCCAAACGATCGTCAAATTGTCCGGTGTCATATATTTTTTCTGAACTTTTCTCGAGCTTTCACACCTTGTCTCCTTACATCATGCTATTTTTCATGCGAAAATCATGTACTAAAAAGAAAAAAAGGGAAAAAGAATAAAAAGAAAACAATTGGCGAACCAAAGGAAGATCATTCAGACTTGTCCGTGGTAAAAAGTAACTGCAACTGGTTATTTACCTGAAACAAAAAGAAAAGGGGAACATTAGTTAAGTCTCTAAGATAATGCAGGACGGACACAAAGAACTTGCAAACAATTTATAAAATAAGGCGCTAGGTGCAGAAAAAGCTGTAAAAAAATAAAACCGCTCAGTGGTAAAAGTCACACCGGTTACCTGCGCCACTTTTCTGTGGAAGTCAAAATAAATTCGGCAACGTTTGAATTTCATCCAACGATTTTCCCTAAAAAGCTGCATACGGGCAGTATAGACTAGTTAAATTTCGAAGATTCAAGTGCGAATCATATTTGCGAGCGATGATCGGAGCCACGATGCGAAAACAATCAAAGCGAGAATGAGAACGACGCGGAGCGCGTATCCCTGCGCTGACCCGAAAAGCTCGCGCGAATTCGTCGGGTCCGATTAGAACTTTAATCCCAGGCAACAGCATGATGGAAAGCGACGGATCTGCATACAATTTTAAAAAGGAGTTACGTTGTTTTCGCTTGGAGTCCCCGACGCCCGGGTCCGGGGGCGTCGTAAAAACTCGAGTCTAATTCGTGCGCTGACATAATGGCGCTCGAGCAACAGCACTGACGCACAGTGGAACGAGCGTATGGAAGAAGTTGGACAAGGATTTTAATACTAAAATTGAAAATTTCGATGTTCAGTTCGTTACACTGGAAAAAAAACACGTTGAATCTAGAGTCCAGACTCATGAAAACATTGACGAGAAAAAATACTCTTGATTCAATCAGATTTTTGCTTAAATCAAAAGGAAATCCGCTCAAATTAAGAGGCTTGGTTCTTGACTGAAGCGAAAATCCGATTGAATCAAGAGTATTTTTTCTTGTCGATGTTTTTAGGAGTCTGGACTCTAGATCCAATGTGCTTTTTTTTTTTTTTTCCAGTGTATGATTGGCGTATCTAGTAAATGGGACCTTGTCTTTCGGAGGAGAATGAATCTCTGGACGAGGTATCAATTAAAGCTTAATCATTTCAAAGTTTCCACATCTTGTCCGACCATTCCCATTAACTCGCACTACTGTGCGATGCCGACACGCATAAAAGCATAAAAACTAATGAGATGCACCGCCAGGGGGGACCGAGGGGGGCGCGCCCGAGTCGCGGCGGAAACGCCCGATCGTCCCTCGGAAAGCTCGTCCAGTCCGGATGAAAACATTCGCAAGCTCGTAAGCTCATTAAGATTTCCTCCTCCTCCTCCTCCCCCTCCCCTCACTGACGAGCCCCTCCCGATGGTGCTTCGTTAATCGACGGATCGTTGTCGGATCTCTTCCGTCGTCACCCGACACTCCNGGGGGGGGGGGGGGGGGGGGCTGAGAAAACTGGGTCAATCTACACGAAAGCGTGCCCCGATTGTTCTTTTAAAAGCATGGCATTCGAGGATGATGATAGATCAATTTTGTCCTCTTTTTTTCAACTAACAACCCCCCGGTCGCCCCCAATGGCCCCTATGTGACGTCGTATCGGTTAAATATTAGGATAAGGAAGGGAAGATGAGTTAATGCAAATAGTTAAAATTGGCTTGCGGAAGGGGGGGGCGCTTCAAAAAGTTCCGGAAAAAGTTGCGGAAAAAGTAAAATTTAAGATGCAAAGAGAAGTCAGCAAAAATTGTCCAAGAACTTTCAGCCCAAAAAATTTCCAGACGTCTAAGAACGCCGTAAAATACTTCAAATGTTGCCATATTTCCCTCAATAAAAAAACAAATTTACTGAAAAACAAAATTGTAAATATTTTTCTTCATAAGTTCCAGACACTTTTGTTCCATATTTAATCTACAAAATCTGAAAATGTCGAGAGAATAAATGCAAATTTTTCTGTATAAATACATGATAGAATTGGAGGAATTGGGCAACTCTTGAATGCTCATACGGCGTTCTCCCTCAGCATCGCAGAATAGACAAAGGAGTAAAGTAATAGACTGATAACAAACCGCAGCCCATCAGTCCATCATTTTCGTCCTTAGGGGACGTCCCTGAATTACGTACTGCACTTTTTCTGCATTTTCGACCCCCCTCCCTCTTCGTAACGCTCTTGTGACGCAGGTCTCTATCCTTTAATTCGTTAAAACAAAATGACGTGACACTTTCTTCGATCT